CGAAGAAACCTAAACAATCGCTATACGAATAAATCAGAGAGGCTGATGAATTCGAGCTTAAGATACTAAAACATAACACAAGTCGCTTTGCAATAAAAATTCGCATGTGCGCCATTGATATACCACCGGTTCACGGCTCGTATTTGCAGAACCGATGAGAAAGGATAGGAGGGAGCTCACGGATAAGTGACTTGAACTCAAGAGGAGAATGACCCAGCTACAGTACTCGTTTCTAAATGCACACCACTACCCCTGAGGCGTGCCGAACAAGTTTTTGGCAATATCAGTGGGTGGAGTGGAGGTCCAATTAAAAAGAAACCTTCGAACGCCGAATCTTCCCTCTAGCCGACGCACGCACTTCTGCACAGTTTTCTCGATAATCTGTTCGTTATGGGAAGCAAAAGCAGGCCATCCAACGGTCATGAGAAGAGCAGCATCCGTATTCTAAAACCATCATTATTACACTTTCAGTTGTTACTGTGGTTACGACAACCGAGTTTCTGAGTAGGAATATAATCGTGAAGCTGAGTTAGGTGCTAAACGTTCGACGCTTATCGAGTAGTCGATCAAGGGCTCAGGCTGCGTTCATACACTGCGTCAGCGTCCACCGGCATCCAGGTACCGGAGTATGGGACTAGGAGCGCAGCAGACAGCTGGATTAGGATTCGTGAAATTGTGGCGTGTGCAACCGCACCGTACAACAGCACTACACCGCACATCAAGGTTGCATGATTCCGTGCTTTAGCAGTTGAACGGTGCGGTTGCAAAAGCCGCGATCTTCACGACGCCTAACCCAGCTGCCTGCTAACGCAACCCTACTTTCCCACACTCTCCAGCCTGGACGGTGGTAGACGCGGGCATTCACTAGGTCGACACCTATACTTTCCTACCCGCTGAAGCTTCGTACGCTCGAAACGCTGGTGGACACTGACGCAAGCATGAACGCAGCCTAATGTAACAGGGATAAATATTCATACCTTTGAATTGCTCTCCCGTGGCAAAATTGTTTCGAATGTTGTTCGATTTCTATTATGACCATCAATGTCCACATAAATCACAGAAGCACTGTGACCAGATGTCCCGTAGAGATTAAAACCATTGATAGATTCGAGAGCAGCCTGTAATGGATAAGAACTGGTGCAGAAAACTAATGGTCTAAGAGTATTGGGACAGTTTTTCTAGTCTCTTCGAGTGGAGTTGCCTTTTTATTACGAATTACGAAACCACTGGAAAAACAAACATCCTATTCATGACGCTAAAGGTTATTCTCTACGGAATCTGACGTTTTCTCTTCCTTCTGAACTGAACAAGGACTACTAATCTACTATAACTCGACTCAAAGTTGTCTAAAGAAAAGCTATAAAAACGCTTCCTGAGGTGATGTAAACACTTAGTAAGTACAAGAAACCAATTTAAACTGGAGCGACTAGGATCGCCAAAGTTCTACAAATTTGTTTGACTTAAGGCTGAGTTAACAATTATGAGCAAGCGATTGCCACACGTAAATCCCTCTTTCATACAGAGTGATATGATAACCAGAAACATTTTTCCTATTACCATAAGTACTATTCGAGTGAACTGAGACATTCCGTGCTATAGCCTCAGCATTAGACGTATAACGTGATGAGCCGGTCAGCCGACCTCGGCATGGAACGGCGAGGGCCCAGTAAGCGGGAGATGCTTTCGAATACCACCTGGGGATGACTTTTTCCCATAACTAAGCACTCTTGTGATAGCTTTTGGAGCGCGTTAAACAGCAGTTATCAAACTATAACAACCTTAAAACATGTAAAAGCCATCAGTCTCGCGGTTTACTGCCGGTATCGACTAAACGGCTCACCACGTTACATGTGAGCGCTGCGAGGATAGCACAGTGCCATTCGGCGCCTCCGGGAGTGTAATGGATAACGCAACCGTCCCGGTAAGCGGGAGATGCGCACTGTCCTCTAAGGTCCAGCTTTTTCCCATAGCTCAGCAGTTCTGTGAACTTTCGAAGCGCGCACTGCGGCGGTAAATACACTTATCAAACTATAACAACTCCCCGAGTGAAATCAATTAGCAGAACCAACCTTTACCATACCCAGACTGCTTGCATGAAGTTCAGGTTTTCCATTGTTGTAACGGGTACCTCTTTCCCACATACCAAAGTCAGGCGTACGGTAAGTTCGCTCGATATAGAAGACTAGGTTCTGCACAAAGTTGACCTCGTGGTGAGTGTAGATAATCTTGAAACGATAAAATCAGTATCACTGTCGCCGAGATTTGAACCCGTAAAAGTAGCCTTTTCGTGCTGATCTCTAACACTGCTAGTGAACAAAAAAAGACACATGTGTTTTAGCTTTTGCCTTTGTCACAACCGTCCAATTTTCATGAAAAAATATTCCAGACACGATTAATATACTGTTTTCAATATCATATAAAAAAATAAATTGCAAGTAGAGATCACTGCCGTACACAATCTGTCTTTGCGTACAGTAGTTATGAACTTTTGGGTAACAATTCGTCCGAAAATGCGCCAGAAAACGAACCTTTGCACCACTTGCAATCATTTCAACAAGGACTAGCAAATAAAGTGCCACTAGATCCATCTGCATGTGGCCGTACGTGTTTTCGTTAGGACGATTAAGACACATTCCAGTATGGAGGTCAAACCTAGCACGAAGTGCGTGTTCCGCAGAATTGTTGGATTTAAAAGCGTTCAGCTGCAAACATGGATTATTTTATGGAAGAACAGGAGAAACTTCAAGACCAACGCTTTCGCTCTGCTGCATCCAACAGAATAGGATTCCACGCATGGTTTTCACCGCGGACTGTCGAAGTTCCGTTTGACGTCCACGTTCATCGTCCAGTCTTCTGAAAATTGCTCTATCCTATAATCGCGTTGTCCTCTGTGGAAGGGTAAGTTAATGTGACTATGCTCTCTACAAACATTACAAACCCACTTTCTGCTCTTAACGAGCACGTTATGCAGGCTTAGAGGGAAGTCAGAAGTTCTCTTCATACTAGGAGTGTCAGGGTATACTTATTGCCAGCGCTAAAACATTAACCAGACATGGATGTTCTGGCAATGAAACCTTGCAAGAATCATTTGAAAGAGTTATAGTTCCTCACTTTCCCTATACACTAGTTCGAGATGAATGTAAAACCAGCGAAACCATTAAGCTATAGACCATCACGCATTAAGGTGAGCCGGTCATGTATCTCAATTACTTGCAGCGTAACGATAGTGCATTCTGACTTGGAGGGAGCCACTACAACGCAAAGCCGCGTTCATACTTTACACTAGGGAGATTTGGCGATTTGGGGGATTCGACAAATTTGGGAGACTTGGCGGTTTGATAGTATACGCGAACGTGACGAATAGAGTATAGGTATCAATCTCGCGATCGGGGATGTTGACCGATCCGGCGCATTTGGGAGACTCGCGTCTTCGCTGATTGCCAGAGCAGCGGATGGTTACCAGTGCGCGCAGGTCGCTAGCGACTGTGGAGATTTGGAGATGCAGCGATCTTCCAAATCCGATCTAGATCGATAGATATACTTTCCCCGTCGCGCAATCTCTCAGATCGCCGAGCCTTCTAAACTGTCGAATCCCTCAGTCGCAAATTATGAGCGAGGCGTTTGGGAGACTTTGTTATCAAGAGTGTGGGACGGAAAAAGTGAAGGTATCAGTCTGCGGACCCTTGGGGGGCCCTTCCGCATGCATTTGGTGTCGGACGCAACCTAGCGACAGCATGGGCAAAGAGCACTTGTTCATTAAAAAAACCGGGAAAATGGGTATGATGAGGAGAGCAAATCATACCAGTCAATAATTAACACTAAAGAAGCACAGAGAAAACGAATGGATTTCACAGAGGAACTTCACTCACTTGTAGGCAAGCGAACAAGCCCAACTTGCGATTGCACAGTAAATACTGTCCTTTACATAGCCGATGTCACGATCTCTTGAGTATCTCGGAAACAAACCCGTGGTTACGCTTTGATATTCAAGAATCAATTCTTGAGCTAAAAAGGAAATTTAAAGAGAAGATAAGACAACTAAAAAGAGCAACCTACTGATGCTATAAATGTGGTCGATCTTTGAGTCAGTAGTGTTTACTTCGGCTTTCGGATGTTGAAATGGTGTGAGGTACGCCTGAGTTAAGCGGCGTAGTTTGAGCCTACCGGGATTAACCTTCCGTCGGTTGGCCAAGTTCTCTGACATGCCTGCAACCGCATATTTTCAAGAAGATGAAGAGGATGAATATACAACATCGGCGAATCTGAGATGGTTATGCATGAAAGTCATCATAAACGCACGAATTCACACCGAATATCTGAACTTTCTAGCCAGGAACGAATTTGTCTTTACCGTAGAACTCTGGAGAGGGTTCCGAGAGTGGTATTTAAAATTCCACGAGAGAAAAAGGTGAGCTATTCAAACCCGTGCAGATGGTTATGAGAATAATGCAAGTGTGTCGTATACTATGGGGCCTCGTCTGCAAATGCAGACTATATCATCAACTTGTAACGCGTGCGGAATTCGAAATCCAGCATGGAAGCTTAAATTTTTAGGTGTGTGGGGTGTGTACCATTGTTTGTTGTTCGGATTTCACTGCTGGACGCGTTCTGCTTGTTATTACTACTATTGTAGTTATTTAGTTAGTTATTACTGTTAGTACTATTAATTATTACTATTACTGGTCTGGAGATGGACCTCCTCAGTACGCTGAAAGAAGAAATGGCAAGAAAGCGCAAGCGGATTGCCGAACTAGAAGTGAAAGTGAGTTTGTCGCTTGTTTGAAGAGTCTTTATTATGGAGAAACCATAAGTACCTCTCCTTGAATTGATTGCTACTGCAAAGTGATCTGTCTGCGCGTTAGTGCAACTAAACTAACCATTCATGGACGTTAGGTTTTTAGAAGCATTGTTTCTGTACTTTAAACCACCTAGGCCGCTACTGCTATGCAGCGATGTGGGAGGGTCGATAAATTTAAACTTGAATTTGCCTCCGTCGTAAATATCCCGCGAGGCGAAATTCCTAAGGACCGCCCAGCAGGGACAGGGCACGCCAAGTTGCTGTGGAGGAACATTCTAGCGAAATGCGAACTCAACTCATATTTTCTCCTGCGGTGCGACTCCCCCACCTCCTTCCACATTCCCTATCTCACCTACGCTCTACCTAAATAAAAAACCGAGGAAATGAGCAACCCAAAAAAAGGCAAATACCATCTTCTCTCTCCCTCCAGCGACCAAACGACGAGGTAGTGAAAAAAGATTGAATGTTGTAATAGCGGTAAATGAGCAGAAGGACGTAAACGGAAACGCGGACGTGTGCTGAGGAACGTCGATCACGGATTATAGTTTAGTCATTGCTTCAGCCTCTGTCTCCTTGCTTCCAACAGGCATTGGAGCAGGTCCACACCTTGCTAAGGTGGAGAATCCACGTTCGCATGGTGGAGGGGAATCGACCGCAAGGGAAGTATCCGTATCGATCTGGAAAGTTCGTGATACGGAAGGACGTGCGATTCACTAGGAGGAAGTCAATGGATTTCCATTAGTACTCGCTGGTTATCGAGAATCGTTCATTGTCACACATGGCGGACTTATCCTGTATCTTGGATTCTTCTGTTCTATGCGTATGGTTTCCTTTATCGCCGACACTCTGGCGTCCCAAAACCCTGCATATCTTCCATATTCCCAAAGTATGAATGTAGTGGTAAAGGATGGAGCTTTCGGTACTGATCAATCCCATTTTGTGATGCGGCACTCATACAGCTTCCATTAAGTGTAGTTACCGCATGTTGAATGCGGTGTGACCTATACAATGAGTTGCAGGTGCCAGCCTATGTAGAAGTCAGTACTCTGATCCTCCCGAACGACTGGTACCTGTCCACCAATCGTCGCGGGGGAGGGGGAATGGAATAAAAAACTTGGTTGCCGTAGATGGAGACGACCAGGAATTTTACTGGCCGCACGCGTTCAAGCGTGCCCCCTGCTGCTACTTCCTCCCCGCCTCATGGGTGTGATAGTCACCGCTTTCAGTCTTGGGACCGGACTGATGGATTGGATCGTCGCGACCGCGATTGGGGCATCCACCACCAGCGGTGCACCGCCGCAATGGCAAGATCCAAACTGGGCCGCTGTCACAAAAAGCCGTTTTCTGTTGAGCCGCTACGGCGGTGCACCGTTGTGTGCTAGGCACCCGGAGCATGTCTTGGTCGCGCGATTCAATCGCTAAAGCGATCCTATCGCGAAGTCTGAATGCGGTCTTAGCTTGAAATTTGCTTATAAGTTGTGATTCTATCCAAGCATGTTTCAACGTCCTGACCTTCTTTGAGGCCAGGATTAACAAGAAATGCTCATGCTGAAGATGGGTTTTCAGAAAGACAAATTTTGTGTACAACGTAAAAGCATCATTGAGAAATTTAGGTAGACGGCAAGAAATTCATTAGAGGTGCTGATTTAGTTGCCAAGCAAGAGGAAGAGTATCGAGAAAAGCAAAAACTCAAGCACACCAATCATCAAGAAACAAAAGAGGTTCATTATTTCATCTTGCATGTTTCTTGTGGATTAGATTCGGGATGTGAGGTAGTATTCATCTTCCCAGGAAGAGAGCACCATTGCGCATTCGTCTTCCGAAGGAGATCATACTTTTGAAACAGCAGTTCCCGATGAAATACCTTTGGCTGAGGTCCGCAAACGGCTGCGAGACCGCGGGCAACCGATACTTCTGTTTGGTTAGTGCATTATTCGTGAGTTACAGTAATCTTTCCTCTCTTCTTCTATTTTGAATTTTTTTATTGGGGATTTCCAGCGTATTCTGAAATATGTTCAGGAGAAGATGAGTCACAAGTCCGAGCACGATTACTCAAACTAGAAATTGAACAGCCGGACATGAAGGAAGGTTGGAAAAACGAAATGCAGACGGCTATGCGAGACGTCGACGAGGAGCTCGTCAAGGTATGTCATGCTTTCTTCTTCCTACATGACAGTACTTAGTGCAACAACGTATCATTACAGGAAGTAATCGAAGGATCTTCAAATGACCCGAACAAGCATGACGTTGATTATTCAGCATCATTCAATGACAACTGGGAGAAGATTGAAGAGCAGGCTACCTTGCTAGGTCTCGGTGAGACGATTAAAAGCATTTTTATGAGCATTCTCATTATCGGTTATCATGCTGCCTTTGAAGACAGCTCCCGCGATAAAATTGTCATGGATAGTTGCTTCAATTATGAAGCACTAGGTGATAAGCAGTTCCCCCAAGAAGAAGAAAAAAAAAGCGAGGAGAGTCCTCGAACACCATGAACAAAATCGCTCCCTTACAGTCACACCCCTGCGGTCTCTGTGCAACCCCTGGCTCACAAATTCCTTTATCACATCTCCCAGTAGTGGGTATCATCCAATGCAATGAAAAGAATACGAAAAACAACAACACGGAAGAAAACCTCTTGAAAAGGAAAAGAAACTTCCAAAAAC